GTTTATCTTCAAGGTTTGAAAAGGCAGCATAATAGTAAGTGAAGACTTCTATAGAATCAAGAAACCCCTAAATGAGCCCATTAGTGGGGCTATACTAGACTAAGAACTTTAAAGCCATTATACATCCTCCTTCACATTTCTTTACTTTGTAATGCCATCACTTATGATTAGAGTATACATATTTTATACAGCAAACTCAATTTGCTGGTAATAGCTCACTTTTCACTGCAACAATAAACTTCAGTTGCACCAATTTTTTATTTTGCTATCTTTAGCTGCAATACTTTAGTAACTGCAAATAATACATGATGTATTCCTTACATTTTGTTTGCAAAAATGAATGACAGATATTTGTTTTCATAGTTGTTTTGATAGTAGAATCTACCACCATCTTTCAAACCTTTTTTTTGGCAGAGATAACCCTCCCTCACCTCTGTTAAAAGATGAATACAAGCACAAACTAGTAGTCTCTCTACTTTTGCTTGCTTATATTGTAGAACTTCCATGATAGACAAGAATTGGTTTTGAAAATTTGTAGCTAGCAACAATATAGTGCACAGAATATATTCTCAATATCACATTCATTCATTCATTCATTCCCAAGTGAGCAGGAATACAACTCTTTCATTGTGTACATATGCTAGACATATTCACCTGGTATCATCATCATTATCCTTTAAATGTCAAGTTGGTCCTGTTTTTTTGAGTTTTCAAAAGCAATTAACTTATCTATTTGTTTATTTCTGCTCTTTTACACGTTGTCTAGTTTATTTAGGAAATTTGTAAAAGTCCTCAAAGAGGCTAACAAAATGCATATAAAATACAGTAAAATACTCTTGTCAAAATACCGTCAATAAAAAGCTGCAAATACAAGACAAAACCTTGGAACTAAAGGTGTAGTTGCATGAACAGAAGTCATTTCCATTTGTGCAAAGAGGGTTCCCAATGTTCAGCAATTCCCCCTTTCTGTTGCAAAACTCTTGCCACATGCTATGCTGTTCTAGAGGGTCCACCAGCCTCAAAGAGCAGATTTTCAGGTTGTGCAGGTGACAGAAGAAAGTTGTGTGTGTGTGTGTGTAGCTAGCTCTTGAACAACACTTCATAGAACTCTACCACTGCCAGAATTTCTTCCAAAGTCACATTTCTGGAGCCAATTCAACATAAATTTGTAGCAGTAGCAGAATTAAAACTAATCAAATACCTCCGAAGATAGGAAGGCCCCCTTTCTGCTGAAGGCCCCTTCTGTTCAAATAGGTAGGAAATTGGCTCCAGAGCAAAATAATTAAACTCTGCCAGACTTGCTGTATTGTTGAGGTTGGGGGCTGGCTATGCAGCTTTACTCACCTCCTAGACCTTGGCCACTAACTTACATTGCTACAGCACTTAGATTTTGATCTCACTGTCCAGACCACAGAGCAACTAGCACTGACACTCTGTTACAGAGTTAGAAGAAAAGCTCTAAAAAATCCCAGCTGTGAAAGTGTACAGGTTCAGGGCTGCAGATAAGCATGTGGATAGGAAATTTAAAGACCAATTTCCCACACTATGCTGTTCACCTGCAGCACTTCCTCTCCATCACCACTTCCCTGTCCAGTTAGCACTTTAAGGCATTATGGGGGCTGCCAGTTTTCTCGAGCTCACAACTTGAATGTGACTAGTTATAGGTAGAAAATTAAACATATAGATCAGTGATCATTTGTCCTAAATGGCACTAATGAAATACTACTACTGCTTTGGCATTATACCAAAAAGTACATTTCCAAGGACAAATGCAACAGCATTTTTAAAATATTAACAAAATCTCTAGTTTGTTCCAATAATACCCAGTCTGTCAAACTCATTACCCTTCTGTTGACTGGCTATTAATAGTTATTTCTTAATATCTCTCTGAGTCCTTCTCGGGAGGTCAATATATAGGCCAGAAACAAACAAATCGATGTATGTTTCATGCATACAAGGTGGTCACTATACCAACACCCTGTTTTATTTTCAACATATTTTCCATTTGGTTGGTTAAAGGACTGAGGCTTTTAACTACTCACTTGCATTTAGCATTGTAACATTATTTACTTGTAGTAACTAAGGTAAAACAAGTAGTGAGATACTATGAATTTAAACAGCGTAAATTGATGGGATTTGTCAAATAACAATGTTGTCATTTGACAAATAGGCAGAATGTATGTCTTCTGTTGATGGGTGTCAACAGAATTTAGAATGGAAATCTTTATATCTATGTTGCAGGGATTATTTTTATTATTTTAAACATTCACACCCCACCTTTACAGAATGAATCCAAAAAGGTTAACATCATAACTTACGAATTTTAAAAACAATTTGATAACAGTCTCAAGAAATGTAACATGTAACCATGAAAATAAGCTTGCTTTCAGAGGGACAATGTCAGTTTAAATGTTATGCTTGAAAGTCTTATTTAAACATCCAGTATATATATAGTATTGAATATTTTATGAGTTCCTGAGAAAAAGGTATTGCTTTGTCCCTTAAGTGATTATTGAGAACCCCATGATTCCATATGCTCCCAACATACAGGGGATCCAAATCAGGATGCTTGTTTTTTTGGTCCCGAGCTCTCACGACAGCCAGCTGACTCACACCAGAGCATAGGACCAAAAACCAGGAGATTCCTGGGTCCAACCATAAGCCAAGAATGGCTTCTGTAATTCCGGTATGTCCTGCTTAAATCGGGACAGTTGAGCAGTATATGATCAGTTCAGGGGTTATTCAAACCAACTGCCATAAACTCCAGCTGAATGAAACAGGCAAAGAATCAACCACAGCATCTGTATTTCTCAGGCACAAGTTGCAGGAATTTTAATATTATGCTCACTTATTTGTGATCCTGTAGTATCTATTCTCTTATCTATAACAGTTCATAGATCTATATAAAAAGAAATGTGCCCTAATGTGAAACCTGGATAGATTCCAAGCTACTTTGTCACACTAATATCATCTACTCTAAATAATCAAGGTGCCCCTTGGCCTTTCAATTCCCTTAAGCATACAGTACTTAAAAAGTGTAAGGTATAAAGTTTAACAGTTTTAGCTGGGAATTTCTAATAAAGGAAGAAGGAAGGGCTATGAATTCTTTTCATATGGTATATGCAGCAGACAACAGCATCACACATCATTTTAATCAACAGTATGCAGATGTAATTTCAGAGCCTTTGTCTATAATCTTGGAGAACAGGTGAGGTCCCTGCAAACTGGAGGTGGGCAAATGTTGTCCCCATCTTCTAAAAGGTGAAAAAAGTGAGCTTGATATGATACCAGGAAAGATCCTTAAACAGATAATTCAGCAGTCGGTCTCTGAGCACTTAGAAAAGGATGCTACAATTACTATGACATACCATAGGTTTCTCAATAACAAGTTATGCGAGATGATTCTCATTTCTTTTTTTGATGGAGTTACAAGCTTGGTGGATCAGGGGAATGCTGTGGACATGGTGTCTCTTGATTTCAGTAAGGCTTTTGACAAAAGTCCCCCATACTATTCTTGCAAGGAATATCTTGTGAGGAATTTACCACTGGTAAAATGTGGGCTGAACGAGGTAACTGTTATGTGGCTTTGTAGTTGATTGACTGACCGAACCCAAAGAATACTCATTAATGGTTCCTTGTCATCCTAGAAAAAATGCGACAAGTGGGGTGGCACAGGGTTCTGTCCTGGACCCATTGTTGTTCAACATCTTTACAAATTATTTGGATGAAGGAATTGAGGGGATGTTCATCAAATTTGTAGATGACACTAAACTGGGAGGGGTAGCTAATGCTGCAGACAGAATCGGGATTCAAAATGACCGTAACAGATTGGAGAGCAGAGCCCAAACTAACAAAATAAATTTCAATAGGGGCAAGTGTAAGGTTCTGCACTTAGACAGGAAGAACCAGCTGCACCAGTATAAGATGGGGTACACCTGGCTTACTAGCAGTACATGTGAAAAGAATCTAGGGGTCTTGGTGGACCACAAGCTTAACGTGAGTCAACAGTGTGACGCACACAGCAAAAAAAGCTAATGCTATTATAGGCTGCATCAACAGAAGTACAGTGTCCAAAATGTTGGAAATGTAAAGAAACTGAAGGTACATTCTTTCACCTTTGGTGGACGTGCCCAAGGATTAAGGCTTTCTGGGAGATGATCTATAATGAATTGAAAAGGGTATTTAAATATACCTTCCTGAAGAAACCAGAGGCCTTTCTCCTGGGCATAGTCAGCCAATTGGTGTCAAAGAAGGATAGAACTTTCTTTATGTATGCCACAACAGCAGCAAGAATACTTATTGCAAAGTACTGGAAGACACAAGATCTACCCACCCTGGAAGAATGGCAGATGAAGGTGATGGACTATATGGAATTGGCGGAAATGACTGGCAGAATCCGAGACCAGGGTGAAGAGTCAGTGGAAGAAGATTGGAAAAAGTTTAAAGACTATCTACAGAAATATTGCAAAATTAATGAATGTTAGAATGATGTTGGATAGAAATTAAGTGGTTTTTAGCTGTAATATTATAAGGGAATATGAAAAATGGATTATTAATAGGTTAAAATTCAATGTCACAATATTTTAAGATTAAAGACTAGGATAAACAAAGAGGGGAAGGATTTGCTGAACTAACAAACTGAATTGGAATACAAAAAAGGGAGGCGCGAGGAGGTCCGGGAAACAAGCCAATGAAAGATAAGTAACGGAAAGATTGAGTTGTTTTTAACTACTTTTATTTTGTATTTTTATTTTGTATTTTTTCATTTTGTAATATTCTGAAAATTTTAATAAATATCTTTTTTTTAAAAAAGAAGTACAGTGTCCAGATCAAGGAAAGTAATAGAATCATTCTTTTCTGCCTTGCTCATAACACACCTGGAATCCTGTGTCCAATTCTGGGCACCACAATTTAAGAAAGATGTTGACAAGCTAGAACATGCACAGAGGAGGGCAACCAAGATGAACAAGGGTCTGGAAACCAAGCCTTGTGAGGAACGGTTGAAGGGGCTGAGTATGTTTAGCCAGGAAAAGAGGAGACTGAGAGGTGATATGATAATCCTCTTCAAATATCTGAAGGGCTGTCACATGGAAGAGGGAACAAACTTGTTTTCTCTTGCTCTGGAGGGTAGGACCTGAACCAATGGCTTCAAGTTACAAGAAAGCAGATTCCGATTCAACATCAGGAATAACTTTCTGACAGTAAGAGCTGTTCAACAGTGGAATGGTTTCCCTCAGGAGGTTTGTACTCTCCTTCATTGGAGGTTTTTAACCAGAGGTTGGATGGCCATCTGTCATGGCTGCTTTAGCTGACATTTCTGCATGGCAGAGGCTCACTAGATTATCCTTTGGGTCCCTTCCAACTCTACAATTCTTTGATTCTATGAATGAATGCATCAGATGTGAGGAACATGCTGTCCTACAGATGTTACTGGACCACAACTCTCATCATGCATGATCAGTGGCCAAGCTGGTTAGGGCTGACAGGAAACAGAGATCATCCGGAGGACCACAGGTTTTCCATCCCTTGCATAAACCACCAGCAAAACTTTCCTTGGTTTTCCACACATGTAGACATGTAAGAAAAGGTGATCTCTAGATAAGAGAGTATAGAATTCAACACTTCACTTAGCACAGTCATTAGCTTTTCCCCAAGTCTATGTCTATCCTCACTGCTTCCTTCCTTCCTTTACCTTCCCCTTCTGTTTCTTACCCCAAGGAAGTGAATAAAAGATACGAATCAATGTCAAAAATCAAATTCAACCATTATGTTAAAGTATACAGCTGTCCAGTAGCAAAATCTGTATTTCTGGCTGAACAATCCATGTTCTCTAGTAAATAATTCAGTATTACAAAAGTCCTGGATTTTCACATCCCTCTGTTGTAGTAGTTCATACAAGATACCACAAGTCCAACAAATATTTGCTAATTTTGCCCCACAGATACACACAGAGATTGTTAAAATAAGAATTATTGTATGTTAATGTATTTCTAGAGGACAAAGGATCAATCATTGGACAAATCATTATGAAGAAAATGTTTTCAACCAAGTTTCTAAATGATATGATTAAAAATGTAACACAAAATGAGTCAGAGTATCTTTTTCCAGACACACTAAACCAAACAGCAAGCAAGACACAAAACACAGATTTGGAATGAAATATTTATAAGTGGTTTCAAAGAAGTAAACATAATAAATACGTTTAAAATGACATCCAACTATTATCCCAATTTATGTAAATTCTGACAATGCATTTTAAATAAGCATTTCAAAAACAAATCACCAGGAAACTTTCAAGTATTGCTCTAGAGCTAGTATCTTTTAGCGTATTATTGTTCAAGATGGTCTTTCATTTGATTCTGTGCATCTTCCTCTCTGCCTACTTCGTAATAGCTATGGCTCATGATGAGGCACTTTGGCATCACTATTATATAATGTTTCTCCTTGATGTTGAAATTTCCTCTTCACAGCAAATGAAAATTAGAGTATCTAAGTGCTGCAATATAAAGATTCCTAAACTGGCTGCTGGAGAAGCTAATTTGCAAGTGCTAAAAATCAATCTTTCAGATATTGATACATAAAGTAAGCAGTAGCCTACAGAAAACAGTAGGCTCCATTTTGTGTTGTCTCACTGGCTTACCTCATTAGCAAGAAATATGAACATGGCTTATATTTAACAAGGATTCCCCAGAATTCCTCTAAGCTCAGTTTTGATAGTTCCCATTTTCACTGATACAGTATAGTCCTAGAAGATGCACAAGTTGCAGTGGATATTGTGGGGAGAGGGCCTTCTCAGCATTGGTGCCCATGAGTAGAACCTCATTTGTGGAGTGGCTAGGAAGACTCTCCTTGGTGCCTACCTTAATAGCATTTCAATACAGGCCAAAGATCATTTCATTTTCCTAAGCCTTTTAAATGTGAAAAATTAATTCTGTTTTTAAGATGCTTTTTAAAAATCTGCTACTTTTAGATTTTATTGTAATACTACATTCTTTTTACTTTTATTTACGTATGGGTTATGCAGGAATAAACTAACTAGGTCTCCAGGTTAGCAGGTACACCTCTCAATAGGTACGAATCTTGTCATCCATTGTTTTCATCCTCTGTTATTGTTGTTATAATCCTCTATGTCATATTATATTTACTTTCAACTAGACGGAAGAATAAAGAAGATGTGATGCCGCAGGATATTGCTTGGATCTCCCAACTTCTGGATGGAGAAGCACAGGGAAGGTCCAATTTTGATTGGGAGAAGTGGAGTTTGATCTGTTCCTCCTTGAAAGTGGAATATATCTACACATACTATAAAGGGCAGCATTCTTCTTTTTTGGCAAGCGATAGATTGGGGAAACGGTGTGAGGAGGAAGAGCTTAATTACCCATCTCCCACACTGCCAACGTTCTAATAAAGAGTGGAGCCTATTGCAGTTGTTATAAACTAAAAAGAAGGCAATTGTGGTTCTCCAGCATCACAACTGTTTGATCCCAGACAATCAATGGCAACACCGAGCTAAATCTTATCCATCAACAAAGACAATATTTCCAATGGATCATACAGCTGCAAGTATCTGGTGTAGGACAACTCACTCACAGGCTTGTCACTGTGGGCAAAGTTTGTCTAAGGAAAAGGCCCTAGTAATACAGAAACATTTTGCAGACTTTGTTGCATTGGGCAGTAAACTGCACACAAATCCAGAGTGGAGTCCTTAAGGCAGGTGGATAGTGTCTTGTATTGCCTCCTTCTGGCAACTCCTGCAGTCAAGCTGGTGCTAAATGTATTTCTTTCTTTTCCTTTGGACCACATCAATAAGGCCAAGCCGGGGGGGGGGTGTCGTCTGGGTGGCCCAGGACCTCCATACATACTGCCCTGGTGAGGTCACTTTGGTGCTGCAAACATAGCAAAATCAATGCAGGAGGCAGCAGTTATGAGTTATAAGCTCAACTTGAATGGAATACGGTACAAGTGCTATGTTGTCTTTGTTGGTGGGAGAAATCATTGTGTCTCACTGGTCAGGTTAATAAAAATAACAATAATAATAGTAATTTATTTATACCCTGCCCATCTGGCTGGGTTTCCCCAGCCACTCTGGGTGGCTTCCAAAAGAATATTAAAATACAATGATTCATCCAGTATTAAAAGCTTCCTTAAACAGGGCTGCCTTCAGATGTCTTTTAAAAGTCTGATAGTTGTTTATTTCTGTGACATCTGATGGGATGGCGTTCCACAGGGCAGGCGCGACTACTGAGAAGGCCCTCTGCCTGGTTTCCTGCAACTTCTCTTCTCGCAGTGAGGAAACCACCAGAAGGCCCTCGGCGCTGGACCTCAGTGTCTGGGCAGAACGATGGGGGTGGAGACGCTCCTTCAGGTATACTGGCAGAGGCCTTTTAGGGCTTTAAAGGTCAGCACCAACACTTTGAATTGTGCCTAGAAACGTACTGGGCACAATACATACTGGGCACAATCCGCCTTAAGCCTGGCAGCCGCCAGTCAATAAAGTGTTGACCCACCACTGTCCACCTGCTTCAGTGGGTGCTTGGAGCTCAGATTATCACTTGACAAGAGGACTGAACTACTGCACCAGCAAAACAGAAAAGAAACCAATTCTCTTACACCTAGCAAGCTGGAACGTCAGGACCATGTGTCCTGGCTTGTCCACTAATCTGTGGCAGGTCAACAACTTTTCTGAACCGTAGGCCTTAAACACCAGAGTGATCAATTCTATTGCTTTATTAAAGAAGGGTATAGACTTACAGCCTGCCAGGTCTCCTAGGCATTACATGTGTAGAAGATGGCCATCACTGGCCATGAGCTGAAAACACTTAACATTGACATTGCCACTGTACAGAGGACCAGAGTCACTTTGACTGGCAGCCTCTGAGAGAAGAACTACACCTTTTTCTGGCACAGAGGACATCCAAAAGAACCATGTATCCATGGCGTGGATTTCACAGTGAAGAACTCTCTTCTGTCTACAATAGAAGCAACTGAGGGCTCCAAACATTTGCTTTTCCTCTGCCTCTCAACCACCTCCAGTCCAGTTAACATCTCGCGCTTCTACACACAACTCTGAACTGAGCTTGTGTCTGCCTCAATCAGTCTACCTAGTCCCTTTCTTTTTGCCTTCACTGTATGATTGTTGAAACACCTGAAACTTCTAAACACATCATAAATAACAAGCTCTAAGGACACTTAAAGACTTTTATCTTTATTTGAATTAAATTAGTTCTGCATGCCAAAATCAAAACCAGTGCCATGTCATAATAATACAAGCTCTTCCTAAGCCAAACATATTAACATCGATTTTTAGTAGCTGTATTTAGACAATTTACTTTTTCTTTCCCCCTTTTTAAATAAAAAAAAGTATAAAACTGTTAGTTCTGAAGTCACACAAGTACAGCAATGCTGTAAAACAGCTTTACTTGTTTTCAGCTCAGTTGCATTGCACTGGCCTTTTAAAAAGGACTTGCTTTATTCACAAGCACTTTTCTTTGCAAATGCAGCCCTTCACGTTCCACTCAATCCTGCTGTGGAAGCCCCCCCCCCCAACTTTCAGGAGCAGATAAATGGGCAGTGAAAAGAACTGTAGTGGAACCCCCTACCCCCACTTCACCCCCATAAAAGCCTTCTTGCATCTAAAAGCTTCCCGGTCCAGGATTTTAGCTTCAAAAACCATCTTCAAAACAAATATATGCAATAATAATAATAATATTTGGAATGTAACAAAGTGCACTCTGAGTTAATGCTACCTCAAGCACTGTCTCCAGTGATGGATGAGGACTACTATATAGGAAAACAAATATTTTGTATAAAATCAGTAGTGAAATAGCTGAAGGGGAAATTGCTTCTGGGAAAGGAAAAGCTCTCTTGGCAAGTTCTGCATGAAAACATTCCAGAGAATCCACTCTATCATTATTTAATGTTTGCAGAATATTCTACAACCACACAACAAACTCTTCTTTGGTTTGGTTTACACAGCAAGTGTTTGAGCTTTTGTTTTAAGAGCTGTCAGATTAATGTGTTCATGTATATATTCTCAATATCATTCAGGGGCAAAATCATTTTCTTTCATCCTGCTAAAGGATGTAGCAGCTTTGAACACAAGTTAATTTTTAATGTAAGGACATGTTCTTCATGCTTACAATTTAATATTACTTGTTTCCAGGGGCAGTATGTTCCATTTTGCTGCCTG